AATCTGCTCCAAGATTTTGCCGGGCAGAGGTAAGACTGTAGTTCCCTGGGTCTTCCACCTTCCCCTTCTTGAAAATGGGGGTTACATTTCCCTTCTTCCAATCATCTGGAACTACACCTGACTGCCATGACCTCTCAAATATGATGGACACAATCATGAAATGGTTCACCTTAGAACAGTAGTTGAGGTTTACTTTTGCCATCTTTCTACACATAAAAAGTAGTTGGGTTTATATAATAAGATTGTACTTAAGCTATGCAACACAGCTAGCACCTTACTTCAAATAAAGAAAGATTTCCTCTGAAATGACAATATCAAAGCTATAACACCTTTTCTATTTCACTGTTTGCCTCTGCAAGGTATTTAATCAGTGGAAAATGCCTCCTTCCTCCTGTGACAAAGTCTGCAGAACCCAACAGAATAACAGAAACCCTCCACAAAAGTAGAAGGTATTTTACATATTAAGGTTTGTTATACAACAGAACAATCTATTACTTCCTGGCAGTCCTGTAACAAAAGGCCAAGATCATTACTGAAATAGTTCATATTTGTATTAATGATTAATTTTCACACAAAGCAGCAGCAGCAAAGACAATTCTAAAGTTACTGGGGTTTAAAGCACTGAAAAGGTAAAATAGACTTTCTTTAAAAAAAAAAATAAAACAACCCAATTTTTGTTCTCTCATAAACTGCTACACTTCATTACAGTAGTATTCCACATAGAAACTATAATTTTACCTGTGGCTTAATATTCTGGTATGGACAGTAGCTTTTGATATACTTCATACATTTTTCATCTGCTAATGGATTTCCCCATTCCTCCTGTTCTTCAATTGTCAGAGGGAGATGAGTTTTCATCATTGTATTTAGAACATCTACAAAAGGAGCCTTAGAAGTTATTAAAAAAGAAAAGTTGGCAAATAGGACAGAGGACCTCACAGGCCTAGTTCAAGGTTTTCTCAAATGAGGAAAGGGAACTTTGAGTTGGAATGCTTCCAATTCTGAAGCTGGTAAAATGAACTAGAAAATACAGTTTAACATCATAATCCATAACAGGTCTGCAGCCCCTCACCTGTAAAACCATGGCTCTGATAAGTTCTGGAGCAGTGTTGCACAGGGCTCCTGCAAGAACTCCTCCAGCACTGGCAGCTGCTAGTGCTGTGTATTTTGGCTGAGAAAATCCTAGTTCATGCAGCAGCATGATGCAAGCCTTAAGGTCATCGAGCCCTTTGAGTTTATTATGCCGACATCCATCTTCGTGCCAGCTAAGGCCTAGCTCTCCTCCACCCCTGAAATTTAAAGTAAGTCAAGTTGGAGTCTCTTTGGAAAACATTACACAGCAAAGCTTCAGATAATGAAAGGACATCAGCAGCCACAGAACTGCGAAACCATAGTTTCTCTCCTGCATTAACTCTTCTTTCCTCTATTCTTGTCTTTACCCTCCTTTATAGATAAAATACACAACATTCAAGCAAAAAAATCTATGCATGATGATTGGTGAAAATCCTAACTGCATAGGTGCATTCCTTGCCCTTGTGTCATGGAACTGACAGGAAATGCACGACTTCAGGAAATGACACCCTCATTGTAGGCAATACAAAATCAGACATTATCTTTTTATACAGGAATATTTATTAAAATATCTGAAACATTTTGAATGCTTCTATCACCAACAAGCACTTATTAAAACAGTAAAACTGTATTTCTCAGCTCCATCCTGAGACCCTCGGGATTTGTCTTCTGCATAGCTTAAATTCTGAGAGTGTTAGAAGGTAGGACACTTTTCTAGTTTTTGAATTTTAAACTACTTGAAATGTTCTATTTCGTAATACAGAATTTAAAAAAATATTTCTATTTCTTTCTACGTGACCACTATTTTAGTTCTAAGCCACCTGAAATTTCCCTATTCAGGTTTCAAGTTTAAAATTAACTGAGTACTCTGCCAAATTTCTCCATCTTTGGATGGAGAATCCATCTTCATCTAGGACTGACTTACATCTTAAGACACTCAGAGGGGTGGGAGGAAGAATAGCACAATGCTTGCCACTGACTATAGCAGATTGAATATATTTGTATACTGAATTTGTTTTGGAACTGGTGTTTCAAACAGTTCCTTCCCCTCCCTAAAGCAATTTTTTTTGTTATCTTCTTTACCTACTGAATTATTATCTCAATAAAAATACGAAGCATATATTACATAGTGGTTTTATAAAACTAGTAGGTTTGTACCTAAACTGGAGACAGAGGGTTTTAGCCAATAAAAGAAGAGATGCAGGTTAAATGCTTAAGTAGTTGCTGTAGAAGGCAAATGGCTTTCAGAAGACACAGACTGAACATCTGTACACAACACCCTTGGAAAGAGAGGGAGGTAGCATGTCACTGTAATCTGAATGTGTTACCAAAATTTTTCTTGAGCAAAGGTGAGACAAGAAGTAACGAGATGTCAAAAGATTAAAAGTTACATACAACAATCCCATTGATTTAAGAAACCTAAATACAGTATGTGGTCTTGAAAGTATAATTTTTTTTTCCTGAGGTAAATTTACTTTTTTGTTAAAACTACTTTTAAAAAAATCTAAAATGAGATGGAAGTGAAAAGCATTAACAATTGGGTACAGCTACATGAAAAAATATTTCTTTAGCTCTTCAGTTGCATATCAAGAAATACCTGTATATCCCACAGATTAAAATCTTAATTCCATTTTATATTTAACTTACCTAACATGGCAATATGCTAATATCCAGCCCTCTTCAATTAACATCAGCTTGTCTTCTTTAAAGCTCATGTTCAAATCTATGCCATAAGCTCCATATACATGAACTAGAAGTGGTTTCCTGTGTAGCTCTTTAGAATTCATATTATGAAAAACTGTAATTGGCACCGAAGTTTCATCCTGGAAAAGGAGTATTTTACAATAAAGGACATTGCAGAAATCTCAATGACACATAGCAATGAAAACTTCAATTATTTATTTTAAAATGTGTTTTTCTGATTATAGTAATTTTTTTCACTTACAATGTACAAAGCACTCTTGAAAAATAAAGCAAGAGACTGAACCTCTGCTGTGTAGGCTTACGGATGCAGAGTATAAAATTCATTTAAGTGCAACACCTGAGGAGTTTTTAAACTACCAAAGCACCCAAGTCTCCCTTCCCCTGTTAACACCAAGAATATCTATTATTAACAAAATAGTTTACCACTTACTGCAGCACAAACTCTTTATTAACATGTCCAAATTTTTAAATTCAGGCTGTTAAAACTTTCTTTTTTTGATCTATACTGTGCAGCTGGTTGTGGGGTGTTCTTTTCAACACTGGCACCTTTTTCATTTATCATGGAGAGTATGACACCGCGTATCAACTAGCAATTCTGAGTTATACCATACTAAGATTCTTGACTCAACATGTACCATTCTCTCCTTTAGCACACCCAGGTTAATGAAAAAAAAATCCTATCACGACTCTTTCTTGTTCTTCTCTATAGCACTGGAGAAAACACCCACTGTTTAGTAACTATAGCACCAACTGCTCGTTACATTTTTTAATCTCTATTCCCTGCCAAACGCATTTTCTTTAAATGGGTGGGGAGGAAGGGAAGAATAAAAGGAATGGGAAAAGGACTGAAAAATTCTTACCTTGCTTTTAGCTAGTAAACGTGTAGTGTGACAATTCGTAATAATTGGTACCTCTTGCACAGCTTGTTCAATGAGATTATTTTCTTTAAATGAATATGCAAAATGCTTAGGGGGGTGTACCGGGGAGGTGAGCTGGAAATAGCAAGTGCTGGTGGTATGTTCAGGATGAGATTCCAATTCAAATTCACAGGCCCACGTAGGTAGCTGAGAAAACATGGCATTTCAAGTGAGACCGACCCTTACATTGCTTCTGTAAATTTTGCCTAGTGTGTCCTTCAGAGAAAAAGATTCTGAATATCTTCAGTTTATCTGTAGCACAAGGTGTATTTTTTTTTTAAGCTCAGTAATGAAACAGTCAAAAACTGAAAGACTTTGGCAAACTTTTCCCCTAAGGCCATGGGATAAAGCTGAACAATGAAATAAAAAAAGAAAAATAAATCCAAGTTCAGACTGAAATGGGCATTAGTGTAGATTTTTCTTTTTTTTTAAAATTAAAACATTCTTTGAAATGATTCTGCATGGTTTTTATTTTTTAGATCCTATTTCCCCTGATTTTGCAGTCCTACTTCAACATGTTATACAGCCAAGTCCATGTCAGTTGTTATGCCTTTGCTGTGAGTTAGCTCAGTAATGCTAAGCCACTGAAAACCCCTGCCTCTTAACTTTGTTCCTAGTGCCAGCCATTGTGAAGAACAAAACCTTTTCCTGGCACATTCACCCTCAGACACTTACTGTTATTATATTTAAGATTTTTAACTCTGCTAAGAATAAAAGAAATCAAGATTCATTCTTTGAGAGCAGCAGGACATAGTCAAACCTTCTGCCAGACCACTACTTACTTGGGTTGGGTTGCTAGAGACATCTGAAATGGCAGCAAAAGTCCAAGTTCTCCAGAGTAACTACAGACCCTTTCTAAATAAATAAACTACGACCATTTTAAAAAAAATGAAGGTTTTAGAGACCATACAGTGCACTTTGTTGAAAACCTTTTTCTGTAGCAGTTCTATAGAATGCAGCATTGGTAGCTTGTCGCAATAAACTTGCGAGTAGTTCAGATGATTGTATTTTTTCAGGCAAACAAATCAATCAAGTATTTTGCCTGAATGGTCTCCAGAAATCATGGGTTTGAACTGAGTCACTTTGGTTTTAATCCACAAGTATTTAACAACAACTAGAGAAGGGAAGAAATACTTTGCACAAATTCTACTGCAACCTCAACTCTTCCCATTCATTATAGGGCAGTGTCCATACTTGTCTTCGGAATGTTCTGATCTTTCTTCTGTGGGAGGGGCCAGGCTTATTTCCTTGCTTATGCTGATGAATGTAACCAAAAATAGGCCCAGTAAAACTAAGTAGAGTATTTAGGGAATCAAGTCCTATTTTACATTAGAAATCAGCTGTATCGTAAAGAGCTTGACTGTAAAGACGACTGCTCTTTCTGTTGAAGAAAGAACTGAGTTATAGGATAGCTGCTCTCTAAACTTGCAAGGAGTGCTCGCAAGTAACCCACCACATAAAAAACAGCCACAGGTAATATACAACAGGCATAATACTTGGCAGTATTATAGTTTCCAAACCGTGTCTACTCTTGGAATTTATCTTTGCTTTCATCATAATGTTATGTTACAAAAAAAAAAAAAAAAAAGAAAAGTTAAAACATACCTTTATTGACTGAACTGAATGTGAAACAAAAGAAATCACATTTAAGTAAAGATGACCAGCATTCTTCAGGAACATAACACAGTGATCACTGAACATCTCCAAATCTACCAGCTTGGTTTTCTTTTCCAGTGCATAAACTAACTGCCAATTCTCCATCCCACTGGAAGCTACCGGTGCTTTCATCAGCTATAAAACCAAGATGTAGTTAAGAGTTATGAATGAGATCTACAGACATGTAAGTGAACTCATGCAACATCTTTAGTGCAAAAATTTATTAGTTTGTATCAGGGGTTTTTACCTGACTAAAACTGGAGGCTTTGAAACTCCCTTTACTTGGGCAAAATGGAAGAACAATGAAACATCTGGAAAAGTTCAGTTCTTACAGATTAATCTGTAGAAAATTTTCAAGCAGTAAGTGCTTTCAGCATGGCTGGAACTGTAGGTGGTTTGGTTATATAGACTGAGATAACCAACTTCTTAGATTTTAATATAGGGGAAATGACTGTTAAAGCATACTCATTTCTTGATGTTGCCAAAGGAGATAGAAACAAACTGGCATACCACAGGTAAGACTCCACGTACTACTATCAGTCTTTCAGTGTAATAATTCTCTTAAATTATTTCAATAATCTGTGAAGCACTGAATTAAAAGCCAGCTTTACTATTTCTGTATGATCTGCAACAGTTATCTGAATGAACCTTGTTATCAGTTAAAACTACCTTATATTCTGCAGGTTCTCCATATGTAGTAAGAATATATAACTCGTCATTTCTGTGCTCAATGTGGTAAATGACCCCTTTTGTTCGTGCTTGTACAAGAGCAGGTGACTTAAAAGGATGTCTACAGTCAATCAGCCAAACTTCCGAGGTGGTCTTGCTGTTGCTGTTGATAGTGAGAAAACGCCTATCTTTGGTGCAATATATGTCCACAAAAAATCTGTAAGGAATAATTATTTTTTTAAAAAAGCTTAAACTTGATTAGTATTATAAAAATATATCAGAATCATTGCTTCAGAATCATGGGCTTCCATCTGCAAGGTAAAAACCAGCATGCCTGCAAAGAGGCTGAAGAAATTGAAGACTACTTGGTTCCCAAACCCACTCCTTCTGCTTTTATCCTGGGATTCAAAACCCCACAAATCTGCAAAGAAAGCAGGTCAGTTGCTGCCTAACTGAATCCAAGTATTTGCATTACTGAGATAAGACTGGAAGCTCATTGATGTATTTAGGGTTTAAAGTTCAGGCAAAACACAGAACTTTTTATTGAGCTTTTAACACCTATTTTTTTAAAGTAATAATGGATAAGTATATTAGTAAAGGACATCACGTAGGAATGGCAGTAACAAAAGAAAAGTAAGAGCTATTATAAAGATAAATTGATAAAAAGCCTCAGTGTTACTGACCTAACTTTGTCTGAAGCAGGTAAAATAAAAAGGACTATTTTTTAAAAAAGTACAGAAGCCTATATGACACGAGACAGACAGGTTGCACTGGTAAAGCTGGAAACTAGGAACTGGGTTTGGAACTATGTAAGAAACCAGGAGGTATTTACTGCCATTAAATGCTTATGAAATCTAGAAAAAAAAACCCAGAATGATAACCAGTGGATGAATGTTAATAGTAGAGAAATAGTAGAGAAATCAGAAATTCAGAATCAATTTTTCATGAGTCATCCTAATTAATTGGAATGCCCCATCTTGGGACACAGCAGTTTCTTTGCCATTTTGAATCTTTAAGACTGTATATCTCTAAAAGCAAAACTGTCCAACACAAAGATCCAGAGGATTTCATCAAGAAGTTGCAGGGTTGAGTACCATAATCTGCATTAATACAGATCAGGTACATGACTGCAATAATGATCCTTCTAGACTTCAAAATATTTGACTTGTGAAGGAAAGGGTGCTTTACATAGCATTTTCAGTGCCTTTAATTATTTGCATGTGGAGGAATTCCAATTTTCTTGGTGCTATTGTTTTTTCTAATTGCACCCTCTTGACATCTTAAAGAGGACAGGCACAGCAGGGGATCTAAAGTCTGCAAGGAATCAGCCTCCTTGCTCTCTAATACACGAGTCTGGCAAGAGTGCGGCACTGCATTCAGTAGAGATTCGAACAGTTCAGCTCTGCTGACCTTACCTCTGAGAGAGTAAAGCTGAAATGCAGGTTACACTTCTCCCCAAGGACTCTGACCTTGATATTACTTTTTTTCCCTCTTTTTATTTTTTTTTTCTTTATAGCTTTTTTTTTCAGGAAGTCAAGAAATCAAAAATTATTTGATTGCACCTAAAAGAGCTGGTCAGATGTAGACTGGAACTGCTCAGTGTCAATACAAAAGAATGTCTTGCCATCTCCAATGAACAAGTAACTTCAGTTATGAGCTGCAATAGCACATGAACCTTTAGAGTAAGTTTCTAGTAGATTTACTGTAATGACTATGACCTTCAGAATTATGGCAACAGTTTCCCTGTGGGGAAGTGTCAGGTCAGTGCAATTTGATTTTCCAAAAGTATGCATCAAATGCCGCTGGAACAAAAGGATCTTATTTACTCCATCTCAATTGCAGATTTTTTTTTTGTTTTGTTTTTAGATGAAAGTATAATAGAAATTTCTTTACTGAATATGTAACTTGAATTAAGAATAATCGTAAACATTTATGGAATGTTGTACAAATTGACCACATGCTGCATAGCTGAAAAACTAGTTCTGCACTCACTTTAGCCAGAGCCTTCTTGTCTTCCTAAACCACTGCTTCAAGAAAGGTTATTGAGAGGGTATTCAGTCAACAATAGTTCTATCTCTGGGAATGCTGTAATGATTTTGCTCATCCATTACCCAGAGCAAGGATTAGCCTGAACTTCTATGGTTTTTTTTAAAGATGTATCAGACATCAATAGCAGAGAAAACAAAATGAAATCCACAGTCTGATTTACCCTGTATGAAACTGTCACACATTCATTAAAGGACACCCTGACCTGAGACTGACCTTGACATTTATAAACTCAGCTGAACTCGTGAGGTAAGAGAGGAAAGTTAAATCTCTGTTGATCACATATCAAGAGGAAAACAGAGCACATTCTCAGACTGCATATGGCACTACTGACAGCAGGACACAAGTTAAAAATGCCTTTTATCATTTGGGATATGATACAAAAGAGTATGTTTTCCAAACCAGTTATATTTTACATATAAGATACTCTAGAATACATAAAGGACCTGTTAGATTTTACGTAAGTATTACCTTGCATCTTGTTCTGTATAAACTAACTTAGTATGTTTCTGATTAGTGAAAATGGTCATAAACACATTCTGGCATTTAAGGTTCTTCTGACTTGTGTAATACAGAACATCATTCGCAGCCCATTCTGGAAAAAAAATATAAATGCATATCAAATTTACATCAGTATATACAATTACCGAGAGAAAACAGAGCTCCATGAACACTGGACCCAATGCTTAAAAAGGTGGGTTGCAGCTGACATGGAACTGAGGACAGCTCTTCTACATCCCAGAAGCTGGGATAAGCCACAAAAAGACTTTTCCACGTTTTCTCTGAATCCCACAGAACAAGAATCTCATTTGGAAAAAAACCCAAAACAAAATTAAGAAGAAAAGGGCAGAGGACCATGTTCCACCATGTTCTAGTTCCAGGGCCCAGAAAGAGGAAGCTCTTGACTGTGGCAGGGTTCTGGAGGTAACAGTAAAATAGTAGATGTGTGGCTGTTTAAAACTGAGCAGAGAAACAGAGGTTTACATGGACTCAGCAAGATAATAAAGGGAGTATGAGCTCTGCACCGCTGCATGTGACTGCATGCAAACCATTTAAAGAAAAGAGATGATGCATGTGCCCCATGGGTAAAGCCAAGATAAAAATTCTCCAGTTTTCTATGCGTGTACATGTGTTCACTAACATTATAAACATAGAAATACAGGAACCTTGCAATTTAGTAATCTGACTGATCCAGCCAAACTACTGCTATCTCTGCTGGTCCTACAGTCACCAGAGGGATGTTTAATACATATGCTTTAAAAAGCATATGTATTATAAAAAAAAATACATATGCTTTACTGTATGCTGTCTTATGCATAAATACTAACTTGCAATACGAAACTGGAGGAAGTACCACACTGAAGTAATGCAAACAATTTGCTATCTGAACAGCACCATGGCTCCAAATTGCACAGGAAGCTGAGGGTTCCCTATGAAGACAAGAAAAATGGAAGTTCTTCTATAGCCTAGCATTTAAAAATCGTAGATGTAAATTTTGAAGAACTTTCATTTGTCTGCCTGCTATCATGTACCATGCAATACAAGCATATACTTTGCAAGTACAAATTCTCTTGTTCATGATTGAGGGACCTCTGTACCTCACACCTGAGTAAGGTGACAAAACGGGTGTAATCTCTACCATTCTGAAAGTCATTTTTTCTACTCTTATTATCTGCCATAAGCTATCACACCTACGTAGGGAACAGGGAGTTGGTTTATGAATGTACTGATTCTTCTGGACAAACCTAGATAGATGTTCAAATCATGTATAGTGAAAAATGTCACTGCCAAACTTGCAGGCCTAGCTTTTAACATGCATTATAAACTTCAATTGTGCAAACACGACATTAAATTCTTGCTATTCTTTATTTTTGTAATTAGGAAGTTTTACCTAGATTTTTAAATTTTTGCCCTGAATTACTTACACTTGATGACATCTAATAACATAATCCAAAAAACAAGATGTGGAACATTGTATACACACTATTGCACTCCTTTTCTATATTCTTTAACATGGAAGGTTTCCCTGCTCATGGCAGGGGGACTGGATGGTCTTTAAGGTCCCTTCCAAGCCAAAAAATTCTGTGATTCCATACTACAAAAAAAAAGAAAGATTTCCCATTCACTTCAGTTTACCTCTGCTTATTTAAAAGCAGTGTAAAGCTCTGTTATCTATTCTTAAAGAATTGACTCAAGGCCTGACTTCATCGGTCTCTGAATTGTGATCCACATCCTAGGGTCCAGTAGAAATTCTAGCCAGTACTTAATAGCAGGTATCACGTGCACACTTTTCAGCGAGACCAAGAGCCTACAGCTATCAGAGACTGCAGTTGTAGCTGTAAGGGTTTAATAACTAGAGCATTTCTCGTAAGGATCTTTATAGTGTAGACAGTTATGTGAGTAATTTTTTAAAGCATATTGAGTGAAATACCATTTTATGGTACTATGAAATAAAAAGAACTATATGTACAACTGTTCAACATGTGCTTGCTTTTATAGTGAAGGAAAACCTGTATCGTGAAAGCAGTCACTTTCATCTACATCGGGTAACTTGAAACTCTGCATTGTGAAAGAAATTGTAAACAAAAATTATACGGCTGTAATGATTAAACGTAAAAATTTTGCTTCCTTATTTTTTTTTAAATATTTTTTTTGTGGACTAACAAAAATATTGTGTTGAAAGCTGGTGTGATCCACACGATATTTATAAACAACTTACCAAAACTAAATACGCTTGGAATGATTTTTTCCACAACAGGAAAATGACCAAGTTTCATAATAACACAGGTTGCCTCTTCAGAATTTTCACTTTTTAAGCTGATGGCCATGTATCTCTGATCTGGTGAAATTCTAATACGTTGAATAAAGGCATCAGAAAAACCAAGATCTTCAGTACTGAATAAAATGTCACCATTTTCTTCATCTACTGCACTTAAAAATAGAGATCACAAAAAAATCCTGTAGTTAAGACACTGTCAAAATTAACAGTGGTTGTTAATGCCTGTATTTAGCAAGTCTGTCAGCACTGTTCACAAGCATACTACTGTAATTTATTAACACCAAATATTTGTCTGGCGAGATATTTACAAATGCACTTTGTAAAAATAAAAAAAAAAAACAGTTCAGGGCAGGGGGCGAAGTCTTGTAGTTATTGTTAAAAATATTTCAAGAGTGTAGATCTCGGCTTCCAGTTATTAAATTTTAAAGTTCAAATACCTAAAGCACAGTTGTTTTTACTAAACACAATTAGTAAAATATTTCTCCAGCCCCTCAGAACTAAAAAAGCATCAATGTGCTTTTCATTTTTTCAAAATGTTAATTTAGGGCTCTGAAAAAAAGTGACTTCTCCCTTTTGTCTCCAGAGGAGAGGAAATAGTATATATTGATTTAGTATCAATATATAGTATTTGCTAACTCTTGTCACCACACCTTTTTGGATTCATCATTCTAGAGCTATTAGTCATAAAAAATTTATAAAAATAATTTTAGTTTATTTAAGAAACACAGCAATTAAGCTTTAATGTAAGAAACGTACACTAAGTGATACGCGTACAACATTTTTAACAATCATGCCATGTTAGGAAGACAAATCCCTTACCATCATCTGCTTTTGAAAGAAATATGCAGCCATTCTCTTCAAAGTACACATTCTCTCCAAACCTGATCTGTTCAATATAAACCAAGTATGTTTCAAGTCCAACATATAATTATGCTATTTCCTTAGAATCCCTATATTCAACACAATTGTAACTTACTTACACAAATTGTAAAATATAGCACATGTATTTGATACTGAGGAAGGAACTGCATGCATCAGAAAGGTTCTTTCAAAGTTAGGGTACTTAAGCTACCTATACCTGCTCTAAATGCAACAAAAGGCTCAGATCACCTGCAATTGCTTGTGTAACTTAAAATGTCTTGTATTCTTTAACAGAAAGACAGATGATTATTGTAACTTTTCTTGCTTTTGCTTAGGGAGAAATTAACGTAACTACACTACTATGGTCTAAACACAGGCTGTTACTATCCACAAATATTAAAAAATTGAGAACTCAAAACTACACCCATAAAATAATCAGTAAACCAGCATTTTATAGCAAGAATGGTTTCACTGCCTTTTATTTGTAGTCAATTACAAGTTTGTATTTTTTGCCACTTACCCTCGGGCTTCCCAAATTGAGTGTATACTTATCGTGCAACTCTTCTAATTTTTCCTTGATTCTCTTTGTCATAGCTTTGTATCTCGTTGAAATGTCATTCCAGTTTTCCTGCTCCGATTTCAGAAGATTCTTGTACAAAAGGTCTGATGTTATGGATGCATTTTGTTTCCTTTTGGAAGGGGTTTTTGTTCCTTCCTGCTAAGTAAGGAAACACAACAATGGCTACAAGCCAGCACTCTGTACTCCAACATGAATATACTGAAGCAACAATAGTATTTCCTGAGCTACAGACCCAAAACCAACTTTGCATTATCGTAATAGTACGTGCCATTAAAAAACACAGTTGGACTAAGTTTTTTAAGATCTTTCTCATCTTTAAGTGTTTGAGGCCAGGTTGAATGGGAGCCTTGAGCAACCTGGTCTAGGGGAAAATGTCCATTCCCATGGCAGGGGGGTTGGAACTAGATAATGTTTAAGGTCTCTTCCAACCCATTCAGTGATGTGATTCTATGAATGTCAAATTGACATATTTATTGAGGTCTTTTCTTCAAAATTCAGGCTACTATTAATTTATGCTCTTAATCAATTATACGTAAATATGTTTGTTCTTGTTCTAAAACTAGGTTTTAGTTGATTTTTGTGGAATTCTAGGGTTTTTTCCTTCTTCAGAGGTGTTTTCCTGTCTTAAAGGAGTGTAATTTTCTTTCCTAGGCAACAATGCAGCTCACACCTCTGTCCCTGTACCTAGGAGTCCTGGCAGCTTGTTCAGGTTCTTGCTCCACCTCCCCAAAAGTGTTAGTATAAATGTTCAGAAGGTGCAGAATGAAGCAATTAGCTGATATGGGTTCTGCAACAATTTTATCAAGAATAAGCTTAAGGATCTGGTTTTCTACGATCTATGAGCAGACTACTGCTACCTCATTGCCAACAACCCAGTCTTCTCTTGTAAAAATGTTAAAAATGTGTTAAAATTGCTAGAACAATGCTACTTCTTTTTGCTTGCTGTAAAATCTCATTTGTTCAAATATATTTGAACAAATGAGGCTTAACAACATATATTACAGTACATAACACTGCATAGATGACACAAAGCAGCATTTTATTACATTCAAGGGTATTATGTGACTGTGTCTAAACTTGAAAAGCAGCACATACTTTTTACCCCATCCTCCCCTTGCATCAAGAACTGTTGGTTTGTTCCTGGTTTATCTTCACAAAGGCATGAGATATAAAACATGAATGTTACAAGTACACTTTGAAAGGAGGAGAAACTGAATGCAAACTATACCATTCATGAGAATGGTTCAGACCAATGTTCCCTATAGCCTGAAACACCAAACCAGAAGCATAAGTCAAAGAAATCATGAAAGCCCTTAGGGAAGCTCTAAAGCAACTGTGTAATTCATCAAGGTACAGGAACTGCAGTATGTGTTAATTGTACCATCCCCTCCCCAGTCACTGGAAAAATTGCTGTAGGTCTACACCATTCCCCAAAACAGAAGTAACCAAACGAAAACCCCACAGTGGCCACAAATGGATATTTAGGAAAGCATTAAGAATGGGACAAGCAGAGATGATATTCCCCAACAGGTATTCCCCCAGCCTCCAATGATTTTAGCTCAGGAACTTCCTGAGCTGAATGTGGTTTACCAATATTTAAAAAGTCTCTTTCCTTTATGTGTATCATCTCCCTTTACCCCTGTGTAAAATTTTAGCATCCACACTTTATTTTGATAAGTTTCACACTTTAAGAATCTTTTGATGATTCCCTTAGTTTTATTTTCAACAGTTCCCATTGTACTTTTTGGAAATATTACATAGAGCTGGCAGCCACAGTGTAGGTATGTGTTAGTTACTGTACACCTCCCTGCCTAGGGAAAAACCAGTCACTTAGAAAAGCAGCTAGAAAGATTTTGGGCATAGCAGAGGATCTCAGTGGCAATGTTTGAAAACATTTGCTCCAAAGCAAACAGGCATAGCTTCCTCTCAGGTGAAAAAACCACCTTTTTATATCCAGGTACTAGTGTTGCAGACTGGTATTTTTAACTGTGTTACTTAACTACCAAGGAATAAACAGAACCACACATTCTCATCCATCAAGGCTTCCCATGTTCTCCTTGAAACTTTGGTTACATTTTAGACACAGACTTAGGAACTGTTTACATTATGGTTAGAAATAAGAGGGTTACAACACTACGATCTTTGGGTCACCTCTGAAGAAACACTGCCAACTTGAAACAATTTTAGAACAACCATGCATCCATTTGAAAACATGTTTAAGAGAAACCAAAACACCAATCTTTTTAAACAGTATTTATGCATTATGCATATAAATTGTCTACAGGCAGTGATACTGCAATAAACTTTTATAATACCTTTAGCAAACTCTGTATTAGAAACACAAGAACAGAAGACCTGAAATTATTTCAGTGCATTTCCTAACTGTGCATGACACATTGCCACCCATTTACATAATATTTATTTTCAGGAATGACCCCAGGTACCTTTAGAAGTATAATTTATCATATGTGAATATAATTATGAGAAGTCAATAGCGTATTTTAGTATTTAATATGGTGCAAACCGTGACTTACTGGTCAGCACAGAAAAAGTCAAGGTTTTGAGCCAGCTCACAGTCGTTACATCTGGTGTCATCAGTTTGGACACTTGGCCTCTACACTAGGTGATCTCTTCCTGCAGCTATCTCCTGACACTTTATCTGAATCCTTTTGGGACATATCAATTTTTTAAAAATTGCTACAGCAGGAAAATCAACCAAAATGCAGCTTTACATCAAAACAATATAGGACATTTGAAAAACTGTAAAGATCTTTGAACATAACTGAAATCCTGATATTTATCCTCCTGCTCCAAGCCCTTTGGGAAAAATGTGTTTCCTCTACATTTGGAAAATACGGCTGGCTTCCTGAACAGATATGCCAAGGTGGTTGTTGACATTAAGTCTATACTTAATCACTGTACCTTGCAGGAAAAGCATCTCCACGGCAGGATGCTTCCAGGTGGCAGAGTCCTGTATGTGCACGTACTTCCTGAACAGGCCAGGATATGGCATTTTTTTGGTTTTATTTTACTACAAATACATACTCTTTGAAGACAGCTATGCTTAGAGTAGTATTTGACATTGTAGCTCAGCCCTTGGAGAAGATTTCGCAGTCCAGCACATGACATCCTAACCTTCATTTCTTGATAGTCAGCCTGAAATTACCAGACATCGTAAATTGCAAATCATTTGCACTATGTGAAATATACATAATATAAACTGCAGGTAAAACTGCCTCTCTTTCAAAAGGAAGGAAAACTGATTCATTAGGTAAATCAGATGAGAAGAAAGTTAAAACTCACGCTGTTTCTTAGCAAGTGGTACATGCTGCTTAGACTGAGTATTAACCTGCAGCGTTACTGCAAAACGTGGTTCCTGGTGCTTTAAAGTTTAACGAAACTATCAATGAGAGAAAGGAAGGTGCAAATGTTTATGTTTAAATGTTGAAGAACCAAAGCCGGGTAGGTTTGGGAGTTTTCTGGGAAGTTGTCCCCCTTTGTAACTCACACAACAATAAAATCGCTATATCTAAAGAGACAACTTGACAGCAAGAGCTCACCTCCCCCTCGCAAAAACACTGACAGGCTTGCAGCCCTGCGGGGGGCAGACCCTGCGTGTT